GTGATACTCTTTATCAGCTGTATATTTGTATGAGAAGGGTCTTAAAGAAGCACTTGGTAATTTGCTCCTCCTCATGTGAGTACAATGGTTCGTCCTTAGTCACACCTGCATAACTGGAAGGAGAGTTTTCCGGGATTTGCTGTATTTGGAGAAGAGAAAATGCCTTAGAATTGGCGAACTGCAAATGCACCGAACCTATTTCATTCGGGGATGGTCGTCCCATACAATTATTTCTGTCATAAATGAAAACTTACATGCTTCTGCGATATCCTAAAGTTGAGTATGTTGAAACTATAATGAAGTCGAACCAATGCCAGCACCATTGAGGTCTTGGACTCGCAAACACACGTCATCATGGCTGCTCCGCTCGGTGGATCCCTCACTTACACTCAGAGTTTTGCCAGCCTCTGTAGTGGAAGTCTAGGAAGCCTAAGCTGGCGTGTCATTGTGTGGACAGTCTTCATAGCATTTATCTCACAGTTTTATCCACGTCGGTGGAACTACTTTTGGATGATGGTGCGATAGCCGACGCATCCGACGCCACGCCTGCGCTTGCTGCATCCTAACTCTGCGTCTGTGGTATGGAAATCCCATTTTGACCGCAACTTAGACGTCCGTCGATTGGCATCTTGTCACCACACCTATGACAACAAATTTACGCTTTAAAAAGGCACATATAGGGATCAGTTTTCTCACATAAATCTGTGGCATGCAAAACCTCGCGTAAAACCTACCTGTTGTGGCTCCAGTCTCTGACCAGATCTTAGCTAGTGTTCTAGTCCATGTTTGCCTTCTGAGATCGGCCTACATTGTATTTATTTTTAATTTCAGGATTGCGTCCTTTCGCGTGCGAGATTTGTGGCACAAATTTCGCGCAGCTATCACACAAGAAGTCGCATATTGATCATCTTCACAAAAGTACGCTCCTGTTCTCTCATTGCTCTCTCCTAACGTTAGTTATTGCATTGATAACCTGCATTTTTGTGCTAATCTTTATCAGCAGTGTACTGTTGAGCAAGAAGACTCGAAGAGGCGCCCCTTCATCT